TCTGAGAAATCTTTCCACATTCCCTCCGGTTTAAAGAGGCTCGTGAAATCATCCTACCTCAAGGAAGAACCTGTTTTTAAAGAATGGTAGTGAATATCAGTGGTTGTGGAATGGAAGCGGGATTGTTACTTTGCTCACATCCTATTTATGGGCTTCCCAGAGAGATCTGGTTGGCTCCTATGGAAACAGAAGAGTGGGATAAATTGACATTTTAGTCCGACCAAGGATCTGTTGGAAAATGCGCGTGAAAAATGTCAATTGCACTGTCACAGCTGCCATCTTGACCTTTTTTTGACTACCCCATTGCAAAGCGGACAACACCAGCTAGGTTTTAAATCTAAAACCATTTTTAAAATAGGCAATGATGGAGAAATTAATTTAGCTTGCATCTGAATGCAAAATTGCGTCGTTTGAAAATTTGCATTTTCAGACTAGAACGAGGTTATCATTTGACATTCTGTTCTGCCTGTGGGGAGTCGTTTCATCATCATCTTCATCATCCAAAAATGCATAAAAGTAACATTTCAGAATGCATTATTCTGTGGGTAATACGTTGGCACAAACAAGGCTTATTCATCAAAATTGTAAGCAAATATGGATAGCTTTGAAGAAATGTGAATAACCTATGGTTCTTCGTGCATTTTTGAAAGAGCAGCTGAGGAAAACAGAACTTGACAGATGATAAAGGAATGCATAAATATTATATATAAAAAAATAATAAAGACCGATAAAGGAACACAGAGATGACCTTGGAAGCAACGAGAAGACCATTAGCAAAACATGAATTCAGCCTGGAAAATAGAAAGGCACGAGAAAGAGACAAGAAGTTGCCCTGCTTTGATTCTGTTTGGTATAAGAGGGACAGAAGGGAAAATACAGTCAGATTTTCAAGGTTCTGTTGTTATAGCCTATATCAGGAGTATCTGTTTGCTGAATTGGCCTACTTTGAAAGGCTGACGGCAACTGAAATTGACATCCTGACCCACTGATAACTGCACAGGATAAAACGTAGCTGTGCTGTAAAGGGATCCATTGTGGGAGAAGGCGAAAAATTGGAAACATATTTGCTGAAGAATGTTCTCCAAAGACAATGAACTGAGCCACAGGCAAGAAAACCAGTCCTCCTTCTAGCACGGTACTCAGATGCAGAGACTGCCTTGGGACTGAATTCTTAGATTTTGCTGCTTCTGCGCAACACCGTGCTAAAATGTTTTCAAATAACTCTAAAAAACACATCTACGCCTTTGGGCCTATCAGAAAAAACAACATATTCTGAAAACTCATTCAAACCCTGGAAATGTATAACATGTTATCCTCCCTCTCCCCACTCCCATTTAATGCACATACATTTCTTTTTGTTGAAATTGAAGACCCAGGAGTACATGCAAATATAAATGTGTTTCTGGCACAAGGGGGGAAAAAATGGAGGTTTTTATCCTTGCAAGGCAGTTTAATCCCCCTGTCGCAACTGCTAAATTATGATCTGCTATTCCATCCAAATGGTACATTTGCCAAGCAGATGATCTGAAGCGAAGATTTGCAACAATCCCACTAGCATTGCAAGCTCTTTCTGTCTCTGTATGAGACTTGTGCTGCCACGTCTTCCTCTTTAACAAAGTGTCGCTGTCATTCTCTGATTTATAGTTGTGGCAATAAAAGGCAAGTTCTTTACTGGGGCTTCTAATCCATTCTGCTCTTGATGGGAATTCAGCTTGAGCAGAGAAAAGCTGAGAGGCAGAGTGGTGCAGTGGTGAAACCAGGTTCTGCTGTAGTCTCTCTTCAGCCCGGCAAGCTTCCTTGGTGACTTTGGGCTCGTCCCTCTCTCCCATCCCATCCCGCCACTCAGTGTAGTTGTTGTGAGGAAGACACATAGAAGGATGAGATGCTATGTTTGCCACCTTGAGTTCCTGAACGAAAAGCAGGATATAGAAGTCATATAAATAAATATATAAATCAGTGAGCAATTCACCTTAGCTTTTGCTTAGAAATGCTAGTTTTCAATGTCTGGGGAGGTTCCTTCCTTCCTCCATCCCGGAATTTGACCTCCCTCCCTCCCTCCCCCCCCCCCCCCCCCCC